CAATCACTTTATAATTGAAGTTTAATTTCGAAGTGTAATGAAAGGCTGCAGTTATTTCACTTAGCAGTTCACTGTCATGGTTGGGTGGGTGATAGATGCAGCCTAATAAAAGAGTTTGCCGTTTATTTATGTAGAGTGTCACCCATAATGTACCGCATATATTAAGGTTAGGGTCATCGTAGTGCACAGCTCTGCAGTCAGATTTAACATAAATAATGCATCCTCCACCCCGCCCAACTGATCTGTTTTTCCTGAAAAATGAGTAGCCTTCACAGTGAAAGAAATCATCATTTATTTCACTTGTATACCAAGCTTCGGTGATCAATAGTGCTGTAGGTTGGCTAATCAGTAGGAGGGATTGGATATATGCCATCTTGTTTACAGCTGACCTGGCATTGACAAGAACTATGTTAGGATTAGCTGAGTCATATCTTAGGATTTTAGCTATGTCTTGAAGTTGCTGGTGGTGAGATTCAATCATAGTGTCCTCAGACGACAATGAAATGTCTGTGCCTGTAGATGCCCTAGGAAAGCTAGGAGTGCAGAGGGGGTGAAATAAATTTTCGTTTTCATGTAAGTTTGGACGTAAAGAAGATTTGCTGTCAGAAGAAAAAGAGATAGAGGGTTGTTGAAGAAGAAGAAGAAGGGATTTACCAGAGTCATGTAAGGTGAGCTCCAGGCAGTAATTAGACATTGCTGTATCAGCTGTCATATCTATATTGGGGGGCGAAACCTGTGGAGAGTGGTGAGCATTTGTAGTATTTTGAGGCCATATTGTGAACCTGTATAAAAAATGGTAACGTCGTTTCAGCAAAACTGTTGATCGCTGGGTAGTCAGCCCTGTTGGGTGTAGGCATGTAAATAGGTGGAGGTGGCCTACCAAGCAAGCTCAACTTATTCGAATTGTTGCGATTTACGTCACCACTATTCGACTTCCTATAGTTAAGTGTATCAATGTTTTGGTTTGTATTGGTGCGAGGGTTTAGTTTTTTGAACAGGTAGCTACGAGGTTCGGGTTCTGTTTTGCGGTTTTTGTACCTATTGGTTTTGTGGATATTTGTTTCTGGAGAGAGGTGTGGTATCGAGCTGTGAGCATGTGAATTAGTGTGTGGTACTAGTCTCTTATTCTGCGTTGTCTGTGTAAACGAACTGGTAGCCGCATTCTTCAACTTCCTGGAATTAAGACTACTTGAATTGGTGAATACTGGGTGTGATGCACTGCACTTTGTCACTGGGGTACAGGGATCGTTATCAGAAGAATCTAGATCTACGGTCGATTTCTTTCTTAGTGTACTGCTATACACTGAACTATTTTTGGACCTTACATTTTCACGCAAGTTCGTTTCCAAATACGGTGTGCTTTGTATAGAAAGATCCACACCCTTTTGCTCTGCCTCAACAGAAGTGTGGGTGCCTAGGGGTGTTGTAGAGGAGCTAGGATTTACAGTTTTAGAATAAGTCATTCTTTGGATCGGTGTCTTGTCACGAGCTAATTTAATCGTATGGTAACGTGTATTTTTCAGTAGTGTTTGCCTACTGTAAAAGAGATGTCAGCATTAGAGGACGAGTCAAATTTCAACACAAGTGGGCAAGATTTATTTTTATGAGACTTTCTTAGTCGATGGCAGCTGCACGAGACATTATTCATAGAGCACGCATTCAGAATAGTGCTTTTGACCTTGTTAATCTGTGCATTATCCGGTATATTATACACGATTATGTTCTTCTCGCGAACTACACGTTCATATACTTCAGTTGCAACGTAGTTTATCAGGTTTGCGGTTTGTGGTAAATTACTAGTTGAAGTACTATTACTGCCGGTTTCACTAGGAACTGCCAGTTTTGATATCTTAACTTCAAGCCCCCTAATAATGGAAAATAATTCTGCGATTTTATCTTCACAACAAGGTGTAGAACAAGAAACTGAATTAGTGCTAGGAGTCAAAATGTTTGCCGTGTAATTCATATCGCAGGACGTTTTGCAGGTGTCTACGAGGCCTAGATCATTGCATGTAGTATCACTATGTATACCATCCATGATGTTGTTTACTACGCAAGCAGGTAAGGGGAGTTCAACGTCCGGACTTAACGTATCTACTGCAGCAGACCTGTGTTTAGTTGTTAAATCACTGGATGTAGTCTTCACACTTCCTGCAGGCCTATTCATTCTATTCGGTTTGTGTTTTTTACTGGGATTTGAAGCAGACGGTGGAGTTAGACGCTTGGTTTGGACCATTGGCATTTAGAAAAGAGTTAAACTTCTTTAAATATAAGAGAATGAGCAAAGTGTCTGTAAGGTCCGTTTTAGGGTGTTGGAGATTTAGATTGTTTAGTTTGGTACGCAATGAGCAGTTTATGCGGATAAAAATACTGAAATAGAGTATGAAGACACGCTTAACAAATACTATAAATGCAAAGATGCGATAACAGTAGTACTTAAGTAGACACTAGCTATAATGGACAATTACAGCCTGAAAAGTTATCTTTAATGAAAAAATAGGACTAAATATTTAGTACTATCCTCGAGAGACCTATTGAAAAGCCGCCTATAGAGTTAAAACGAAACTGAGGAATAACACGCGAAAAAGTAACAAGGCCTTCGAATTGCCGCTATGGTGATTAGGAAACCATCAAGTGACATCACTAGACAAGCTCTTGAGTGGAACCCGAAAGGGAAGCGGCGAGTTGGTCGTCCAAAGGTGACTTGGAGGAGGTCATGTGAAGAGGAGATGAAAACGTGTGGGCAGACATGGAGCCAGGTGAAGACTCTAGCAGAGAACAGAACGCAATGGAGACGCACGGCTGAAGCCCTATGTTCCTGTAGGAATTAAAAGATACAATAATAATGATAATCATCAAAAATATAGTCAGGCGACAATTGAAGCTGTAAGGAGTTGGATGGATTCTTCACAATTCGCCCCAGCATAGCATATTGCTGAATTAAATCTCACTAATTCTGAAATAATTATGACATTCCATAGTGAGTAAATTCTGAATCTGTTCTGAAATGGAATCTTTATTGGCACAGACTAGAGCTCAGTGCTGGTTTTCAGCATTACTGGCACTAATTCAGCACCGTGTTCTTTTTCTAGTCATTTTCAGGAGTAAATCATAACCTACTGGGTTTGCTTATCAGCGTTGTTCCAGCACTCACAGGACATATTAAGCACTGACTAGCGTTACTTCAGAACGAAAAGACTTGATTCAGCACCCATCTATCTTTCTAGGCACGACTAGCGTTATTTCAGATCATAGTGGGAAAAAAAAACTTCCATTATCATAAAAAGGCATTATCGAAGAATAGGTTAGAATAAATTTAGAATTGCTGTAAGTTTGAGCTGCCAATTCTCTGAACTTCAGTATGGGATTAATTCATTGAATTCAGAAAATAAATACACTGGTATATTATTTCTCTCCTTAGAAGTTATAGTATATGCACACGACTTGATAAAACGCGCCTGCGAATTACCGCAACACCATTGACAAACTGGCCAATCATTTGTTTATCTCACTCGCGGGTATACGAAATTACGACATCATTTCGCCATTAAAAGTTATCTCGTAGAGACTAAAGTGAGTGACAAAAGCTAGTTACATAGGGTAGTAAGCAGTGGGACCATCTAAGGATGCTTTCTACTTCCTTATACGAGTTCTAAGTGTTAGTCTAAACCAATACCGGTATACGAGATGATTAAGATAAATTTATTGTGAATGTAGTTGAGTAGCAACGTGACTGTAACCACTCCGTCTCCATCAATGATGATACCATATATCAGCCGCATACCTGTGTACATCATTACTCCTCTATACATCCTTGTTTTATCCGTCGCTACAAGCCTCCCAGCTAGCATTTCTTCGGGGCAAAACACTTTGGGCGCATTGCCGTTCTTGAGTATTTGCCCCGAAGACTGCCCCAAAAAGTCTGCAATGCACCCTAAGTCTGCCCCAAAAAGTCTTCAATGCCCCCGAAGTCTGCCCCAAAAATTCTGCAATGCGCCCTAAGTTAAAGTCGGAATCGGGAATGTGCCCTATGTCTGCCCCAAAATGTCTGCAGTGCGCCCGAAGTCTGCCCCAGAAAGTCTGCAATGCGCCCGAAGTGCCCCAAAAGATCTGCAATGCGCCCTAGGTCTGCCCCAAAATAATTGCTGGCTGGGCTATTACCCAGAAAGTAGTGAAATACTAGGTCTGAATGAAATTAGCAACGTAATACGCATGAGGCATCCACACATCGCTAATATAGGCGCATTGCATTAGTTGCTCAGGATGGTTTTGGTATTGGATGGCCATGCTTAAGTATGGTGGGAAATTACACATGGAAAAAATGCAGCTATTTTCCACATCAACGAGCAAGTTTCCCGGCGTTTCTTCTTAATTATCCCACATTTCCCATGTAAGCGGGAACGTATAAAACTTTGGTGAGAAACACTATATAGTGGACATAGCGAACTCAGGCTGAATGTCGTAAAACATCACATAATTAAGCGGAGGGCATCCTGTATGGCATCCTTTAAATGGTATACACGAATATATCTATATATTTTGTCGAATGTTGTGATTTGTCTTGTTATATGCTAATGGATTATTCGATTGTTACTAGATGAAACGGTGGGAAATTGACCCGGAGATGAGAGTAAACGCCATACTAAGCCTGTTTATGAAATAGAAGTTGCATAAAAATCGAAGTTTCACAGGTGCGTTGGTCATATGCATCAGCACTAATGTACTGATTTCTGACGAAATCTTAGCTCGGATACAGAAAGTTCTTGTGGCATTTGCCAATTGACGTCATCCGTGGCGTGGACGAGATGTCCGGTTGTCTATCGGAGCATGTGTACTGTGCAGCAGTACGCACTCACATTCAGTGAAACAACAATATTTGTTTTATAACTGTTTCTACCAAGTAAAATTATTCTATGATGGATTTATACTCTACAACAGTATCCAAATTCTATCATTATATTTTCTAACTTAACATCCGAGTCACTAAACTGTTTATAGAAATGCATATGCCGTCTACTGTACCAGCAGCACCTGAAGAACAATTGTGTACTTCGTCAGAGGACACTACGCAGAGTACCACTCTGATAGATATGGGTCTCAGTCAAATTACCAGTCTTTGCAAAATAGAATACACTCAATTTGGTGAATTTTACACTTGCAAGGTATGCAACGTGAAGTGTACCGGTAAGATGCCCTTTCTGCAACATGTAATGGGGTCAAGTCACAAAAGAAAGTTCATTCTTAGTAAGCTTATAACTTCGTATTATTAGTCCATTTGTAGATGCACCTTTTTGTCAGGAATGGAATACAAACTCCAACTCTTCTGAGCAATATGCGTCTCACTGCAGTGGAACGTCTTCTGAAAGTCAAACATCTGGACAGACCCGTATGGAGCAACGATCTACTGGAAACAACGATACAACCTACTTTTGTGAACTGTGTGGTCTTAACTGCTCTTCTAAGAAACAGCTTGATTGTCATCTAGCAGGTAAAAGACACTTGAAACAATCCAGAAAACGAGGAGCACACTTATCTGGTCATTTGTCAGTCAATTCTACATTGAGTTTACAGTCAAACCAGTTTAATGAATTAGAGGAATGTCTTTCACAAATTTTCACTTCAATGAATCACACTGTTGAAAATTCAGTAGAATTTTGTCAAAAGGTTGCACATTGGTTAAGAAATGTCATAGATCTTGAGTCTAAAGTGGAGTCAACAAATAACATCTCCCCATTGTTTTTATCACCAACGTCATCTCCGACTCTTTCATGTCAGAAGGAAACCGATGCAGTTTTAGGAGCATCACCTTCAGAACGGAGCAACGGTGGTTCTCTTGAAAGTAGGCCGTTCTGTAAACATGCTGATTGTGTTCTATTAAGGTCACTGCAAGTGAGTTGGTTTTTAATTCTCATTTGCAATGATTTTAAAGTCGTCATCCACTCTTAAGAAAGGTATTTCTTATTATTCAGGTCAATCATCATGAGTGAATAGTAGCGTAACTCAGAATTCTTGTACTCGTTCATATGCCGAGGTGTAAGTCGCATCTAGTGTTTTCTACGTAAAGACATTACTTGGTTGTCTCAACTCCATTGAATGAAGTGCATTTTTAGATCACCGTTCATTTTTTGAAAGATGGGTGTTTGAAGTACTTGGTTGCACACTTGTTTTACGGTTAGCGATACGTTGTGTAGCGATGTTTGGTTGATTGTTTTATCCACCTGGTTATGAGCAGAATAAAGGAAGGTGATCATCCTGAGATCAAAGTGTCCTTTTGCGTGCATTTGCTTGAGACAGCTTTAGGCCGCACAGGTCATTTTGATTGTGAGCCTAGCACTCACCATTTTAGCGAAGACTAGTTTCAGCTTATTCGCGTTGTGGACTATAATTACATTCAACAATAATTTAGGGTGTAAATATTTGATGAGTTATCGGGTTGTATAAACGATAAGTGGTAAATGACTAGTTCCAATTTTCAGCGTATATATCTTTTTAAATAGGCTCATATGGGCATTAGAGAGTTAATCGTTTCACACAACTCTAGCTAGCTGTTAATATTCTTGAATTTCTAAAGATATACAATGTGTCCTTGAATATAAGACTAAGGCTTACGATGAACTGTTTAGTTTAGACGACGACTGGTTAGTTATTTAACTTATTTGATCTATGCATTTTTCCTTATAAGTTTCCAGACCATAGATGTTACGAATTTCCTGGAATAATTTGAACGCCATGTCGGATTGAACCATTATAAATTATTTAAAATAATCCCAACGGATATCTGGTACTTTGACGTGGTGGTCGGGCTTGCATATCGCAGTGACCCAAAAAGCCACACTCGCTGGGACTAGTGTTTCTTCAGGAAGATAGTTACGATAGTGATTAGACTAAAAGCAGTTACCGACATAGTGTAAGGTTTTTTACACTATGCTGGGGGTCTGTGGGTGAAGTTGTGCTGCTGGGGAATAGGGATGTAACATCAGTAATGTTTCCCTCAGATGGTCAGCATACTAGCTGTGCTGTCTCTCCACTCTAGAGAGAGGGTGATTTCTACCAGAAACTGTCTATTTTCTTTGTTAAGGTTCTCGGGATGACAAAGCAAATGTCTGGAGACAATTGGTGATAGATATGGCTCAAAATCGTTCTCAATGGCTGGCACAGATGCATCCACTCCTTGTGACTTATCCAATTAAACTAAATTGTTCTTCCTTATTACTATTCTTTTTGCCTCATGTTTCTGTTTATTAACTCTGTTTTTGAATTTTCCCCTACCCTCTTCTCTTCCTTTGTGTGCTACATGCAGGGAGAGTGGCAACCCGAACTGCTGCACATCTGTGCAAAGTTCTACGTTGAAACCAGTCAGTCAGTCAGCCATTTAAAATAATCCCAGCGTGTTTAAGAAACAGTCCAAACAAAAGGTTTATGAACGTTTCGCTTTGCAAGCCACAGCTTCTTCAGCAGAATTATTCGGGTTTTAATAATCATCAAACTATGTAGTCGAAGTCAGTCCATTTGAAGGTTACTTGTCGGTAGACATTTGTACCAATAGAATAATGTAAGCAGTCATCATATATCTGTAATGACTAATGTCAAACTGTCATATGTGCATATTTGTCTGTATGAGTGTATGTTATTTGTCATATGGAAAAGACGTCAATTCACATGTGATAAGTATGATAATATTTTTACAGAGGCTTTTGTTTTTCTCCCATCTGTCTTGCCTCATTAGAGTTTTCCATATAAGTGCTGAATCTATCCCTTCTCTCCTATTTACTGCATTCGATCGATGTGGTCAAAATGTGCAAGATCAACCTTTCTTTATGTGAATGAAATCCTCTTCCAAGAATTTCGACATTGTCGAAATCAATCTTATATCCACTGTCTATCGCATGCATTGCTATAGCTGATCTTTTTCCTAGACTTGTTAATTCTACTTCATTTCTAGGTGGATGTTTAGGCCACAGTTTATGTTCATTCACCCTGACCTTCATCTGTCTACTGCTCTCCTCTATATAGGAAGCTTCACATTCTGAACACTATCCAATAGGCACAATTGTTTTGTGACATTTTGGGAGCCATATCTTTGACATTCACCAAAGCTTTCTCGGGAGAACTGGAGGGTCTGAAATGGACTATGCTATTATATGAAGCAAACAGTCTTTGGAGTTGTTAAGCTTTCTCTTTTCGTAAAGAAATCGCTATCTCCTGTAGACAAGATTTTTCTGTTTTCCATTCTCTTCCTTCCGAAAAATCTTGGTTTGGTTTTTTCTTAAACACGCTGGGATTATATTAAATAATTTATTATGTCTTTCTCCGTTTATTTATCAGTCGTGCCATCTTGGGCCATCAAAACTCAAAGATCAAACTAAGGTAGATTTACAGAGGTAGTTATTCTAAAATTAGACATGAACAGCGATTTCCACATCCTCCTTACAAGTTTTAATAGGATTAGACAATGTGTCAGTAATTAAATGGAATAAATAGGTAAAGGTAGAAGTTAAAAACTGGAGCTTTGTTGATCACCCTAATAACACCTTAATTGTTCAGTATAACTAGTGAACAAATGAACATGAGAAAATTTTCTGAGTGAAGACGGAGTTTTAGTGATGAGTAGATGGGGATGCCGCGGGTTCCCCATTTGATCTCAAATAGTGGACAGTGAACACCGCATCAACATAGATGAGTCATTGAGTACCAAACAGTTTGCTCAGAGACCACACTATTACGTCTCCTAGTTGACAGCTGAAGCTGTAGGGATCAGTAAGAATAGACCTTACCTAAGCGTGCAGGAAGTACATTCAGCCTACTCTGACCTACCACACAAGGTCGTTGGGGACGTAATCACCTCATATTTCCGTGTCTTTTAATGTCCTTCTTATTCCTTTTCACGTATGAGAATAGACCTTGGGCATTGTAGTAGAGTATAATTCCATCATAGAGTAAATTTATTTAGGAGAAACAACATTGCGAGAAGAAAAATATTCCTTTTTAATTAGTTCTTCATCATCGGCTCTACACTAATATATAGTTTATTACATCAAAATTTTACCAATTAAGTGGTTAATTTAGTTGGTCAGTTTTAGGTATATGAGGTTGAAATTAAGAGGCTAAAAGTCATCAAACCAATAACTAATAGATGTTAGTAACAGTTTTGAAGGAGAGGTGAAAATTAATCATTGAAATCAAGTTAATTCTCAGGCTTTAGTAACAAGTTATTAGGTAATCAAGAAATTTGTGAAATAATGGTGACTTAGAAGAATAGGATGACTCGGGAGAATTACGTATTATGCCAACAAGTTATAAGAATTGTAAAAATTTTCTAAGTCAAAAGATAGTTATCAGAGGAGGGGAAAATTCGTTTATAAGAACTAATACATATTAAGTATTAGCCATGCAAAGAAAGGGGCTGTACAAATTTCATTTGAACACAGATTTGACTTGTTCACATAAGTTCCGATCGCCTCTGCTGTATGAAAAAGTCGTACTCGTAGACCATGCAGGAGATTGGGTGATATACGGTAGATAACTGTAAAAGCTTTGTTACAGTCAACCTGATGTTCAGTATCGACGAGGTGATCTAGTATTGAACTGCCTATATCTTTATTCGGACCTTTGCCAAACTAAGATGAAAGGTGTTCAGAAATTCGACGATGAATTTGCCTGATCGTCCGCCCTATGTGACTTAGTTTGCATAAGCAGTTAAACTGGTAACTACACATGGGAGAGGCGAAACAGGGCAGTTTGTCTTTACTTCTTGAACTAAATATTGGTTGCCTAGTGAATGTACAGCATAGTTTGGCTGCGTCAAAAGTCCTTTTGAAGTCCCATCCCAGGCGTTGCGATAAGATCTCGTTACTGACATCACTAGTGAATTGTAACCTTAGGAAAACTGATTTTTTGGGGAACAGTCGGCACCTGAGTTCATGTGTTTGTTCACAAATCTAGTCGGATATCCGTTTCTACTCAGTAGATCATAAATATTAATGAGTTCTTCGTTCAGTGTCATTTGAACAGATAACTGTAGTCCGGTGAGCCAGACATCTAACTAGATTACGTTTGCATTGTAGAGATACGAAGCTCAGGAAGTGAGTATATTTTCCAGTGGATGTAGGTTTTCGATGCAAACGTCTACATATTGTTCCACCTGCTCGTTTAATCGTCAGGACGTCCAAAAGCGAGATAGAGTCATTTTCTTCCTCTTCTTTAGTGAAGCTTATGCCAGGATGTATTTTATTGAATTTATCTAATATGTCCTTGGTCTCACTTTCTTTATTCACAACTGTAAATATCTCATCGGTATATTGGCAATAGAAATCAAGATTGTATATTACATCGTTAAGAGGACCATTCTCTAGTTTTGCCAGGAAGAAATCCTCTCGGATTGGGCCTAGTGGACATCCCACGTCAACACCATCTGATGATTGACTATACATTTCTCTATTGAAAAGAAAGTTTACGTCCGCTGTACACCTTAGAATAACTAATTGAAAATGAAGATATTTCGCTCAATCCTTTGATTTTTCTAAATGAGTAAATGGGAATGTTTAAACTGAGTTAATGCATGCCGTGCAGTTCCTCAGTTTCTTTTTATCGACACCACAAAGATGAGTAGTCCAGAAAGAACTCTGCAATTGCAATGCATGCACTAACTCACAATAGGGTGGGACAGAGTCACAATTCTAAAAATTAATATAAGTAGGTGGGGAGAGAGAGATTGACTACTGAAGTTTTGTTCATCGCACCTACACCTTACACGTGCAATTGGATTGACTCATCACACATCAGAGATATGGGAAAAAGTATTACTTCCAACACCAAATCAATGGATTAGAAATAATGGAATTATATAAACGAAGTTGGAAAGTAGTGTAAGTGCCCTTGATATGATGATGACCAATAAATTGTACTCGACACGTCATCCGTAAATAATGGTCTATAAGTGTAATTTTATCAATTAAATTTGCTACATAATGGAATCCTTTTCATCTAGTTAACTTCACACCATTATTATGATTATTATTTGTCGACCTTTGCATTTACACTAAGCTTGTCGTATCTCGATTACTTGATTACAATTCACTATTTGACCGCTTGTTTTTATTATTATATATGTTATCTGTCAACCCGCAAACTAACATTCACCATACCTTTATTGGCTATAGTATTCTAGTGTTCATGGATTAATAACTGTAGAGTTTGAAAAAAGAGTTATCGAAAACAATTATTCGCTCGAAATATTTTCTTGTTCTAATTATACTGCGGGGATGTTTAAATTAACGTAAAATTACATACCACCGTAGTTTTTTTGCACACACATCAATTCCAATTATTTGTATGTTAATACGGTTAAGGAAATGTGGCAAGTATTTGTCTTCACAGTGATACATACGAATGTTTTATTGATTTCCTATACCTTTTTAGGAAAAGGCATTGGTTTTGAGCATGATTTAAGGTATCTTAACAAAATTTATTGGTGTTAAAATTTTCTGTTGTATATCAAAGTTATTTTTTCCTTTTCTAGTTTTATGCAAAAAGGTTATACGAAGAAGCTGGCGTTCATGAATGATTTTATTGCTGAAATTTGTTCTCCGTTTTAAACTCATTATCATTCATGTACATACTAATAAGTATCATCATTTGCATGCTTTAATACACTCTTCTAAACTGAAAGTCACGGATTTTGTTTTAATTCATTCTAAAATTCGAACCGGTAACTTACTAGTAAACATTCACCGTATGGAAACCGGGTATATCAACTTGATATTTCGGTATAAAGCTAGGAAAGAGGACTAGTAGCTACATAAAATGGGCAATTTATTCCTCTAATTATTGTCGAATCTAAGCATACCAGGAGTAATTCAAAGTAATAAAAACGTCTCTCATACGAAAAATATGACAAGTTCGAAAGAAGGATGTGCGCCCGGAAGAACGATGTCAATGTCCAGCTGACCGATTTCTACACAAAAGAGGAGTGGACAGTTTAGTAAACTTTATGTTTCTTCAAATATATTTCACTTATTTTGATGTTATTTTAGCTTTATATTAAGATTTGTGGCACATTATTTTGTCTTCGACTTCAATTAATTTACAATTTAAGTCTAAATATATTTTAGTTCTCTACTATTCATAAAATACTTTTACATCAATACTACCGATCTCTCGAACGACTGTTTTAGGGCACTCAGCCGTAAGTTGTGCAGTGGAGCAGGCATCTTACTACGTCATAATTGATTTAACGGTTTATTCAGCATAATATGACGTCACCACTTGTTTCGTGTGTTTCCTTACAACTACGTACAAACTAAAGAAATAATTAAGCATATTTACTGAGAAATTTTAGCATATTTGTTAAGGTTCCATGGTGTCAGTTGACAGTAATATACGAAATTAATAAACAGTTTTCAGAAATAACACCTATATAACTTATACACAGAAGGTTCTGGTTTAGATTAAACCAACCCAAAAAGTAGTAAATGTTTGGATGCAACGAAAAGAGTTGTGTAATAAAGAGAATAGGTGGAGAGGTTGATAATAAATAACTGGTAAATTGCCTAATATTACTATGAGCTCAACTAACATTCATAAGTAAGCTGTTCACGCAATGGACAGTTATATTTTGAAGTAAAACGAACATTTCTGTTTTGTTCAAGTTGCGACATATATGTGTTTTGCATTCAGTATGAAGAAGGGTTCTTCGATCCACTTAGTGGTTACATATTTTATAACACTGTTGTCAACTGAAGCAGTAGACAGATGAGGTGCATCATCTACACTACGTTGATATATTTAGCTGACCTAATTTTAAACTGCCTGATGTTGCTCAGATACCAACTTCAAGACAAGTTTTAATACGTACGATATTCTTGCTATTCGGAATGGTTTTAGTTAACATTTCACATACAATCTTTTGAAATATTAAGTGATCTGAAACCGCAATATGAGAGGTAAATAACAAGTAGTAAAGCTACCTGGCTACAGAAATCACACATGTAAAGATAAGTTTATATTATTAGTTAACTTCTTTATTTTGTTGATTGGAAGTTGTTCATGTTTAGAGTTGGACATTTTAATGATTATTTCATACCCTAGAGTCACTTTCTGTATCCGAAAATAAGCACATTTGACAAAGAGATGAAAACTGTTCATGGAGTAAAAGACTTGTAGTAAATCGGAATGTCGAAACTACCGCCACTTTCAGCCAAATAACTGCCGGCGCTAAAGTAACACCTAATCTTGTGATTTAGGAAATATGTAATTAGATTACTCATGTTTATACATGTAACTTCTTATGAACCATTCGAACCTAACAGAAACTAATTCATTTGTAAAACAAAGTTATTAAACTACTTTTATTCGCGGATCAATTCCTAGTGGATATAACAAAAGTTAGTCATTCAGCTCATAGAAGAAGCTGAATATGACGTGTACTTGACCAGTGCATTATGTTTTAAGAAGAACAATTATACACATTTGGCTGTCTTTGTTCTGACCTATGTCTCCATTTGCAATGTACTCGTCTCGGATTGGTTATATACCTGTCGTCAATTGATATGATCGCGTCGACAGTTGATATGACAGAGTGGACTAGTGTATGCGACTTATAATACTAGCACAATGGACAACTCAGCTGGTAAGCTAAATACGCCTATTTGTCCGTGGTACCTTCCGCTTCACTGAGCCACGTAAATATCAAAAGACAATAACTGGTCTGTTACTGTTAGGATACGATTTTATTAGGGGAAAACACGTCACATTTATATTTTTCCTGACCACATTAAAATCGGCCCAGGGTAGTGGAAACAGATTGTTCTGATTGACTGGCGACTTGACCAAGACCAAGATAAGAAAAAGATGATGAAATTTTACGGCCATCCGACCACACAATGAATCATAAGATGAATAATATTTCAAGCCGATTCCTATCACTTCGCAGTTCATTATGCATAGCTAGTATTGTCCAAAAATAATTACAGAAGCAATACACTGTGCCTACTATTTAGACTTGTAGGAGTATTGGTGATATTCATATTTCGACTGTTAAAAACGATAAGGGAATGAGTAAGTCATGAAAACAGTGATTTTACTCTTCTTATTTATTTACATAATATAGATATGAATATTAATTAAGGTAGATGTAAGTGTTAACATGAAAACCTGTTGGTGAAGGAAGATACTTAAATAAATTGAAAAAACCACTTACAACAATCTAAACTGAATAATATTTATTGCAATATTAATTTGCGCGTCTGAAACAATTCCAAATCCCAGATATTTTATCCTTTCGCCATGTTTGATGTCTTTAGAACAACAGAAGTGTTTCCTATAGGATTATTTCCTGAATATGACGACTGTTGGACACTCATGAATGTGGTTAGGTCTTAATTAAGTTAAATTGAAACTAATGTTCAGCGGCTCAGTCCGATTTTTCTTTATCTGCCTTTGTTTCTCACCTGTCACACTTTATTGATACTCACCAGTGAACTGAAATATTCCTGTGTAAATCCTTTGGTTTTGAACAAGTACCTTTCTGAAGTTATTGCGAATACAAAGCTTGTGGAGGAATATAAAGTCAAATAAGATCAGGTGATATTTTGTATTTATTTTCATTTAATCTGTTATGAAAACGCTTATTCTACACTGAGCACAGTTTTTTAATAAAACTGGATTACATTTTGTTACGTTCTAACTTAGGATTATCGTTATGCCTAATACCATTAGTCCACTAGATGTGCGTCTTTGGATCATAAAAATTACTTTATATCAAAACGTACTTCGTCATTTAGAACAAATTGCTTTCAGATAATGTATTTGACCCCAAAGTATAATTATACACTTTTATCTGTCTCACGTGTTATCAACCGATTCGATAAATCTACAGCCATTATAACTCTGATCATTTTGAAAAGTAATTATGCTGCATGAGTCAAATGTATTCCGAAACAACTACTGCTCTTTCAAATAGTCTATGAAAGTATTCCTTACTCTAGAAAATATTTGGTGTACATTTAGAATGTGGCTCATGTAGTACATTGTTAGTCCTAAAAACTCGAAATCATTCTGCTGAATATCGTCCTTCATTGATCAAACGTATTAGATCGATTTCCACAAAGTCACTTTGAGGTAAGTAAACGCCGACAAAATGAAGACAAGAAGAAGTTAACTTAAAGGAGGACTAAAGCAAAATAAACAGAAGAATCTTCAGAATTAGGATTTCGCTTGAACACTGGTTAGTATGTTTAAAGATTCTTGAATGCTGACCTTAATGTGGTAGATGGATAAATATAATCCCTTGACTATAAGACTTGAAATAGCCATATCACAGCTAGTAAAGTAGATATCCAAGTCCAATTCAGAAACCTGTATGAATAAATGAGAACTTGGTGGACGGTTAGTCACCGTCAGTCAAAAGTATCGTATCAGCCTTCAGGTTTCATCATGGCGGATATATGAACAGAGACTAAACATGTTGGTCCAATGTAATCACTTAATTGGAAATACAAAATTACCCAAACAAATGAAGACTAACTACGTTCATTGAGGGAGGCAGTAGAAAGACTTAAATCATCTCCCCATTATGGATAATGGAGTTATACTCTACCACAGTGCCCAAGTTTTATACTTATATTAAATCATCTCTATTTAACTGATGCCATAAAAATATGAATATTAGATAGTAGATTAGCAAGACCTTACCGAAGATTGAAGAAGCCATTTGTGAACTGCGTTAAAATGGGAAATCGGTAATAACTAAGCCACCAAAAGGTTTCTAAGCTTAATAAGATGGAGTACTTGGATAAGGTGAACAATCTACTCAGTGACAGTTTTAAACTTCATAAAATTTCAACTTCTGTTGACCCGATGAGAAAAACTGGAAAACGATTGACCAAAATATTGAAATAGCAAGGTTTCATTCTACAAGGGATGTATATAATAATCAAACCATTGATACGGTTACAATTAGGTTATACAACCTGTGGAAACTGCACAAAAGTGTTTTGGCACTTCAAACACTGCTAGACATTTTCAACTCCTTACATTATGAGAAAGTTTCGGCAGATATTGTAAAGCAGCGTGAAAGATAGTTTTAAACTGTGGAAAATACCCATCAGGACACTAGAAAGGAGAAACAAGAAATTCACCAAAGATATCGTTTCGGCGATTTCACCCTCAAAAGTTGTACAATCGCATAGTTACGATTATTATTTCATTCAACATAGTAAAGAAAAGATATTATAGGAGAGAATAATTTTCAACTTGATATGAAGGTTTGAAGATGTAATAAAAGACGAATATAGATTAGAAGGGAAAAGAAAGGAAATAACATAGGATTGAATTATTGTTGCAGAATGTGTAAAATATTTTTTAACAAAGGCAGATGTGATCGAGATGAGCATAGAAACAGACTGAAATAGCAGTGTAACAACAGAAGACAAAGGCGAGGCAGCAAATCGTTTATTTACGAAATCAACAGATATTTATAGATTTTCACGTACATTATTATAGATTATTTTAAGGAAACAAACACAGTCTTTTGATTGATGGTTTCTCGCTGAACGTTAATCTTTA